TTACCATCAGGGATCACATGTGGCAACGAATAGATTATCACGACCACGGAAAGGCCACGCTCACAATACCAGCACAAATTAGTACCGTAATGCTGATATGCTTCGTTTGACGAGTGACAAGAATCAGACATCCTTTATATCTGGTAACGGGGCATTCCATTTTAGTTCTCGGAGGTGATATCGCATCCAAATTTTAATTCTTAACGATGATAGGCTTGGCTGTCCTTGGTTTACAGCATCAACTTGTTCTTGATTGTCAAGTTTTCTTTTGTAAAAACATACCCGTCATAATAAAAGATAAGAAGCCATATTATTATAATTTATGTAGTTTTAAATTGATGCACTAAATGTAATGGATTATATAAACGATAAAACAATTTATATCGATAATTAAAATTTTAGTAACCTTCCCTACCAGGTACGCTTAGTTGACTGACTGAATGACTACAAATAATAAATTGCTGCCAATTTATTATCTGTAGTCATTCATATTTCAGACGTGTGTACTGCCTTTATATTAGGGGACAATCTTTGAATATAAAATAATATTTATGGGATCTTAGTATCATAATTACCCTTTATGTCGTTAGTGATTTTGTTTAATGCTTATTTTAAGATAAGATAAGATAATCATTTATTGTCATAACTGTGTACATGAGGTCTTACAAATACAGAGCAAAGTTACTAAAAAATAAAATAAAGCACTACAATAAATCAATAATTACTTCCAAAAAATTCATCTAAATTATAGAAACATTTTGATAATAACCATTCTTTTAACTTTTTTTAAATCTTGGGCTCTCTAATGATTAAATGTATACAGGTAAATGGTTAAAGATTCTGATTCCGCTTATTAAAGTACTTTTACTATAAATGGAACTAGATGATTTAACAATGCACACATCAAAAGTGTGTTGAGTTCGTAAGTTCTTTTTTGATTCTTTTTTAATATTAAAATGTTTTTGGTTATCTTTGACAAACACAAAAATTTCAAGTATGTATATACAAGTCAACGTCAGAAATTTACAATCTATAAATACATTTCTTAAAGAGTCATATTGATTAATATTATACATAATCCTTAATTATATATAATATCCTTATGTGGACTGAATGTCAACAGAATTGCCCCAAAATATAGTTCCATATGTCGGAAATGGATACACATGACCATAGTAATAATTTTTTGCTACATCTCTAGATGCTACATTTTTCAATGAAAAATGTAAAGTAAAATAAAAAGTAACAACTGCTTGAAATCCGACTATTTACTTTCTCAACATGTGATTTCCAGTTCAAATTACTATCAATGTTGACACCCAGAAATCTCATGTCATGCACTTTCTCAATTTTTTCACCGTCAATTATAACATTTATTTTAATTGGAGCTTTTCTATAATTCCTAAATTCTATTAGGTTTGTTTTTCCCGAATTTACTTTTAAATTAATTGAAGTTAACCAGTTCACTCCTGTGTTTAGTGTGTTATAAATTTCATTCACAATATCTGCATCATTTAGTTTATCTCCTGATAAGAATATTGTAGCATCATCAGCATACATTACACATAGATGATTGATCATTAATGGAAGCTAGTTTATGTAAATCAAAAACATCAGTGGGCCTAGTACGTTACCTTGCGGTACACCTAGGCTTAATTTTTTGAAATCGGAATGCACTTGCGTTATTGATTTTGTTTTTTTGTCAAATGTATCTAATATTGCCATCTGTATTCTGTCAGTTAAATAAGATTCCATTAATTTTAGGGCTATTCCACGTATGCCTATATGTTCAAGCTGTTTTATCAATATATTAAGAATAACACATTCAAAAGCTTTTGTCAGATCCAAAAAGAGATCTACATCTTTCCAAATATCTTTCAAAACTTTGAATATAGCCAATGTCGTGTTCTTCCCTATTTGAAACCCAAATTGATTTACATTTATAATCTTATATTTGTGTAAAAATGATATTAACCTATTTTATTGTAGCAAAAATTAATAGCTCAGTTTTAGGGTCCGTGTCAAAATTAGCCAAACGGAACCACTTAATGTTTTACGTAGTACGAAGTAATTATTGACTAGTCATAACCAGAAGCCGTCATGTAGGGCGAGAATTGACTAGCCCGCATCATCCCGTAAGTGTTGTAGGAGGTGACAGAGCGAAATGTTATGGAGAATGGGCAGCAGCGTCTCCTGATGACAATTCAAAACAATAAAACAATGCGGCTGCCAACCCGCATGTCAAGGTTGGCAAATATGGAAAATATATCGCCTATAAGGCAATCTATATGGGGGAGGTCGGATGAATGAATAAATGGTTAGACTAGACCGAAAGAATTTTTTTTTAACAGAAAGGGTGAAATAAGCATACAGATCATTTGACGATAGTCCCAAACAAAAGACATCGATTCAAGAGAATCAAAAGATGAGTTGTTTCCTTGAGGAATAATATAAAATACTTTGCTACAATTAAAAAGGGTATTCATATCTCATCATTAACTTTGCGATACACTGTACACGGCATATACAATTTTTTTCTTGTTAGCCAGTGGTCTTTTATAGCTACATTGGACATAGGTACTTTTATAGCACGATAACGCCCGAAAAGCCGCGAGCTATGTTTCCGTGGCCGTTGGTATTGTTAAAAAAATATTATATTTCTTCGATCATTCTGCTTAGGAGTGTCTTTCTTCGATGGTGCGGTTCTTCAGTCATATACCAATACCGTAGTCTGGTACAGCCATAAACACAATCCGCATTGAATAAGTCACGAATAATTTTTCTTCTTTATTTAAAATGTAGACTGATTAATAGTATTTCCTTGCAAAAATACTAACTTCTGTGGTAGGTAAAAAATATACACAAACAACCTAGGACATCTTTAATTCAGATTATTATAGGACAGGGTACAAACGAGCTTTGCGGTTTATATGATGGTAAGTGACTACCGCTGCACATGAATAACTGTAACACAAGAGGATAGCGTGTGCATTGCCGGTTTTTTAAAAAGGAGTAAACTCTTTTCTTGAAGGTCCCTAAGAAGTATTTCTAGTAGAAGTAAAATAAACAAAGAAGTCGTAGAAGGAAAAAACTTCCGGTAAATCGCACAGTGGTGGACCGCCAAGTACCTAGATGGTGTTTATGATATCTTCAATCGCGCTGTGGAATGATGGAGTTTGGAGGCTGTTTAAGTTCAACTTAAAATTTCATAAAAGTAAAGTTACAGCATATATACATCCCACTGCTGGGCACAGGCTCATTTCTGAGAGGGTTTTATGACAAGGAAGTGTCCGCCACGCTGCCCCAATGCGTGTTGGCGATTTGGCGATCTTCAAATGTCTTCAAAATATTTTTTTCCTTATTCCTCAGACGTGCAGGTTTCCTCACGATGTTTTCCTTCAGCGCCGAGCACGTGGTAAATCAGCACTTAAAATTGCAATTAACAATTTCATTGGTGCCAGCGGGGATCGAACCCAGGTTACTCGCGTTCTGTTATATTTAAAGCGAGCGTTAACCATCTGTACTACCACGGCTCTTTACAAGGTAACTTTAAGTGCTAACAGAACTTTAAGTTGCTTGTCAATTTATTTTTATAAAAAAGCTGAACGTAAATATCGTGGGGAAATCTGCATATCGTAAAAATAAAAAAATATTTTGAGGCTGTGTGTGAAGTTCTACAAAGAGTATTGAAATAAAGAAATAAAGAACAATTTATTTTATATAAAACAAATAAATATACAAACACATGCATGATTATGATACATGATATGCAAGAAGTACATACATGCATAATTAAATAATTAAAGAAATAAAAAATATTAAACCAAATATGTCTCTCACTCGGCATGATGCTGTAAAGCGAGCGCTAGTTTTCGGTTGAAGCCTCCTGATTTCACTATCAAATCTGTGTATGATGCCTCAATTACGAGTAACCGGGTAATTAATTACGACTTAGAAAATATTGCTAATGTATATATATGTACAATACACATATACAATGAGACTATCCTAACTCACAGATCATACGTAACAGAAGCATTATGCGGCTTCCCCGGTCGAGTCGACCCATTCCTACTGCAACTATAAAACACTGTATGATAGATTTACCACGTGCAGAAAGTACACGGTTAAACTCCTTAAATAATTGTATGTTCAAAATAAGATATAACTGGACAGTGACACGTACAAAAATGTTCTATTTTTAAACTTTCTGTGTGGCCAGGCATTTTTCGTATACCGGTTTATTTCGATGTCTATCTACCATTGCCTCCTAGCGCAGGACCTAAAATTGAAATAAATAATATCATAATTGATAGCGTGGATCGAACTAATGTTGCTCATTACGCGCTTACCGTGAAAAGTATTCGAACACTTATCACTGTTTAACTACGAATATTCCTGTTCGTAGTATCATGTACCAAATTCTCTGTCAACGGAATAAATAATTTATCATTTTATGAGAGAAAATGCCTCCCAGAAGGGAATTATTGAATTGACGACAGTAGCCCCATGGCAGGGTGCGGAACGTAAAATTGTAGATCGTTGGTTCAAATCCGCATTCGGCTACTGTCGTGAACTAGTCCTAAACAAGCATTTGACCAGCAGTGGTTAAAGGGAATATATGTTACGTTAATAGCTTTGCTAGTTTTTTATTTAAATAAGTGTTTCATTTTATTACTTCAATTAATATATTACGGATTTTAAAGCAGCTTAATACGCTTTTCGAAAGTAAAACAATTCGGTCAAATTTATTAAATTCAGGGGTGTCGTCTACGTGATTAAAATTGGTAATCAATCATTAATGTGCGTACCTAGAATCAGAGTTATCAAGCATGTATCGGTCGACCGCAAAAGGTGTCTCTTTATCCCACAAGGGACATGTATTTCATAGGGATATCTATATACGTTTGCCACGCTTCTTCTGTAATAAAAATATGTAAAAACATTTTTTTTATTTCTTGCAGATGTTATTCCTTCTATTAAGTGTGTTTTCGTTCGCCATGGCTGAACCACCGGTTGCGTAAGTTGCGTTTGATTATTCTATAATAGATGAATTTCTTTACCGTCTGGATAAAGCAGTGTGTTACAGGTGAACGGAGTAGAAGCCGATATTTTGCTTTTACGTCAACATATTTTAATGAATTTGATCTATCAATAAATACTACTAATTTGAAATAAACTTTCCGCACATACTAAAAAATAAGAATAAAAATTTTGAACTAAATAAATAAATCAATTGAAAACTATCCAAATTAAAATAATACGCACCTAAGTAGTAGTATTTATTGAAAGACCAATTTCATAATATGTTAATGTAACAAAACAATTAAGATATCAGTGCCATAGGCTTCTACTCCATTCACGTGTTATACCCTGTTTTTTTAAGACCGTAAAAAATCAAGAAGTATTCCTTACGAGTTTAGTAAATTAAATAACACTTAGTAAAGTCAAATTTTTCATTAATTTTGGCCTGCATAAAGCATTGATGATTGATGAAGTCAAGGTAACTAGCGTTGTTGTTACAGCCTATTAAAGGACACTGTTGAACATAGATCTCCCCCATAGACTGCCTCATAGGGGGGGATATTTGAACATAAGTAAAAGTGTGAAGTTAGTGCATTCGCATCGCTTGTGCGCTAACTTTCTAACTTTCTCTCACAAGAGTACGACCCTGTTAGCTTTTTGGGACAGAGTTTTTCGGCGGTTAATTCAAAAACAGGAACATCTCAACGGTATGGTGCTGTAAGAACGTCTCCTTCGGACGTATACAGAGCTCCATCACTCAGATCTTCTCCAACCACACAATACAGTACCCCTGAATTCCAACCAACGAATGCTGAGGAATACACTGCCCTATTCCAAAGAAACAGTGGCTTTTCGAATACTAGAAGCTCTTCCCCCGTTCAAAAGTACGGTGTGCCCAAATGTCGTAGTAGCCAGTTGCGTCCTAGCTCCGTATCACAGGAATATTCACCTTCTTCAAGATCTAATACACAGCAGACGCACAAGACATTAGAAGATTTCTCATTTGGAACACAAAGTCTCGCCAAATCATCAAGAAATAGTTCTTCCCAAATTTATGGAACACCAGCTAATTCTCTGGCGACTCAGTATAGTGACCTGAAGCTAGAAATGCTGGTGCATATTATGGTGAACCAGGTGTATTATCGATAACGTACAACAGGCCTAATGGAAGGAGTACCGCTCAGGAATATGGTGTGCCAGAAACAGGAGCAGCTTTGAAATCAAGCATCCTTGCATCATCTTATCCATCAGCTAGGTATGTATAATGTATTTAATACATAGTTATACGTATTCCGTCCATGGTAGTTCAAGGGCTACATATTTGATACTGTAACTAGATAGTCGTTTTTTTAGAATAAGGGTTACATACGAGCACACAGTCCACCTGATGGTAAGTGGATGCTGTGGCCCATAGACATCTACATTTACCCTCGATTAAGAATTAAAAAGCAGATGCCTTGTCAACCCTGAGGACTAAAATGGAATGCCTTATTTCCAGTAAAAAATGGTCTCCGGATCTCTACACCTACCATACGAAACACAGCAGCATTAAGCTGCTATTTTACGCTGGTATTCCGTGAGAGCGTTGTCCTTCACCGGTCGAGACGACCCATTCGTGCTACAACCGTAGTATTGCTGCAGCGAGGCACCACCACGTATAAACTATCTGGCTACACTATCAAGGGTTGATTTGTGAAAAATGTTCTTATGTTTCTTTGACCCTTGTCATAGGGTCAAAGAAACATAAGAACTTCCTTGACCATTGTATATGCTGTAAATAATTAAAATTTTTAAATATTAGAAAGACTATTTTTTTTAGCATTTGTTGACAAACAAGCACACAGTCCACCTTCGGTCGTACCTGATGGTAAGTGGATGCTGTGGCCCGTAGACATCCACATTAATCCACAATTAAGAATCAAAATGAGCAAATACGTTGTCGCTCCTGAGGACTATGATGGAATGCCCGCATTCCAGTAAAAAGGGTCTCCGGTTCTCTACACTCACCATACGATAAGCGTGTCCAGAGCGTGGTCCTACCCAGGTCGAGCCGATCCATTTCTGCTACAACTATAACATAGCTGCAGCGTGGCTCTACCACGTAAAAATAGACTTGTATCACAGTTCAATGTATTGAACGAAAGCACAACTCTGAATTTCTTCTCTTCGAGGCATTCCATATTAGTCCTCACGGATGACACCGCATCTGCATTTTGATTCGTAATCGAGGATGGATGTAGATATCTATGGGCAATAGCAACCACTTACCATCAGGTGGACTGTGTGCTCGTTTGTCACACCACTTCGAAAAAAAAATTCTGTCCATACTTTGGTGGTTTGGAGTGATTTGGTCCACACACTGGTGATTCTAGTAAACCAGGCTAGTACACAAAAGATAACATTCATCTTGGGTTTAACAGATCACGATCCCGGGAATACGATGCACCATCATTTCGTACCGCCATGCCCTCGCCGCAGTACGGGGCTTCAAGAAACCTCGACGAATACTCTGATCAGAGCTACGAGAGCTATGCAAGAAATTATTTAGAATTGCTTAATCAGGTAAAAACTACAAAGTCAAGTAAACAAAATATTACAAGTAAGCAAGCACAAGGATATCGAAGCGTTAAACAGCGGCGTAAGAAAATCCGCTACCCCATCTCATCCCGTAAGTGTCGTAAGTGGGGATAGAGGGAAACTGAAACAGGATATAGGCAGCAGCATTTTTCTTTTGCCATCCCGCCTTGCAAGCGTGGCAACTATAGCAGAGGCCTACAAGACAATCTAAAGGGGTGGCCAATTATGGTGCTACTCCTAGCGGACGACCTTGAGCGTTCGGTTCTGTATAAATATTTCACGCGCTTTCACCACAATATATCGCGTAAGAAATACGCCCAAATTTTAAAATATTTTCTTTATAAAATCGAATTTTAGTCCTTTGAAAAAATTAAGTAGATAAAAATGTTCATTAATAAATTGCCTATCCATTAGTGGCAATCGTAAAATAAAAAAGTTTGGAAAATCCAAAAGTGCACGCCTTATAATCTCATTTGATTATATAAAAGAAAAATATCTCTTTTTCTATATTTGAGACGAAGGAAGAGATCCATAAGAATTTTTTTTTGTAGAAAAGTAGATACCAGTTGTTTTTTACATTTTCATTAATTACAATTAAACGAGAACAAATTACTCAGTGATTTTTAAAGGAACCTGTGCGTTGAGATTCTAAACCTAATAAAAAAAGAATTATTTTGATACATCAATTCTAACGACTACGATTAATACAGACTTCCGGGCACTCTCGATATTTTTTTCAATCAGTTTGTTTTTACACTAAATACAAAAAATTACTTTTAAAATTAATAGAAACATGAAAACGAGTGATTTTTCTCGATATATGTGTATTTTTATTATTTGTAAAGTGCGGTAATTAAAAAATGAAGACATTTTTAGCGTATTTTAATAATTTATATTGTTGTAACTAACATGGTGGGTAATTAATTATTTTTATCCTATAAAGTCTGCGGGTACATTAATGTATTAGATTATGTCTAGTTATTTATTTTTGCTTATATTTATAACTAGAATGTAAAACTGTTTAAGATAATTATAAGAAATATAAACAACGTTTTATAATGTAAAAACTTACGGCTTAATATCCAATTTTATTGAAAACTTGTACCGGAAACCACACAAGCAACGCCATCTGTAGCTTAGCATTGTTAAATTACAAGTCTATAAAAGACAGATGTCGTCGGTTTTAGCGGCAGCTAAAGGCGGCAGTCTTACTAAAACTGTTGAGTAGAGAATACGTACTCTGAAGACAAGTCGTGAGTATTAATAATAATTATTGTTATACTTTGTTATTTGTGTGTCTAAAATGTACATTGTTACTATTATGAATATCCATAACCTTGTTTAGATTTGTGATATTTATATAGTTAATTAAATACATGATATTACTAACGTATTAAGTGACTTTAATTAACAACCCAGAAGTGGGATATGAACTCTCATTTATGTAACAGTACGCTTTAAATTAATGTTGACAGAATTTAACGATTTTTTTTATTTATCTGAGAAATAAAGTAATACTACCCAAAGCTCAGGATATTTTGCTTACCAGCGTTATTAGTACTCCTATTGACAACTCAAGGGTAAGCTCAAATATTATGTTATCAGTGATTAGGGTTCCGTAGTCAACTAGGAACCCTTATAGTTTCGCCATGTCTGTCTGTCCGTCTGTCCGTCCTCGCTTAATCTCTGTGACCGTTAGCACTAGAAAGCTGAAATTTGGTACCAATATGTGTATCAATCACGCCGACAAAGTGCTAAAATAAAAATTGGAAAAAAATGTTTTATTAGGGTAGCCCCCCTATATGTAAAGTGGGAAGTGATTTTTTTTTTAATTTCAACCCTAACGTGTGATATATTGTTGGAAAGGTATTTAAAAATGAATAGGGGTTTACTAAAATCATTTTTTGATAATGTTAATAATTTAGGAAATAATCGCTCCAAAAAGTAAAAAACAATGTGTCCCCCCCCTCTAACTTTTGAACCATAAGTTTAGAAAATATGAAAAAAATCTGGAAAGTAGAACTTTATAAGGACTTTCTAGGAAAATTATTTTGAACTTGGATGGAAAGAACAGTTTTTGTACAAACTCATAAGTGGGAACACTTACTGTGACGGACGAGAAACTACGGAACCCTACACTGAGCGTGGCCCGACACGCTCTTGGCCGCTTTTTTATTTTTACATAATTTCTATTAAGAATCGTTATAAATAATATTTGTATTTTGCTTTTATATTATTTTTTCAACTATAAACAAAATATATTATTAGTCATCGTATTGTCATAATAATTATCATAGATAATTTTCTTAGTTTATTTTTAATTTAGAATTTTGAGGTATTTACAAAGAGTATTTTCATCTTCTAAACATTTGTAATTAATTCAATTATCAGTAATATTTATAACAGCGTTTTATTTATTTTCATATTACATTCAAACTGTTGCTGGGTTCAGTTTTGATAGGTAGTTGGGATATGCTACCACCATTGTGTAATATTGTTTAAACGATTTCAATAATTATTTACTGGCTATTCGAGTTGTGAACTAGTAAAGTAAGCAACAAGTAATCAAGTGTATTATTATACTTCCTGCGACTCTTATAATATTTCAGAAGTGGAATATGGGTACAATGCACTACAACTACGGCAAAATATGGAAACCTAGGCCCTACATTAACGGGTTAGGCAGAAAGAAGCTCAGGAAAGTAGCAGAAGGAACCCCTGAGGTAAATGAATTTTTTTCCAACCGGGGTTTCACTATCGCGAAGAAGAAAAACTACCCACATGGCTGCAAAATGAATTTCAACATTCGATCCGTGACCAAAATTTTTGAGTGCTAAAGGCTTAGATAAGATCGATCAATTAGGAGGTCACATATACAATTGGAGGAATACTGATAAATCTTATATAATGCACATGAGATTACATGCTTCTGCACGTGAGTGGTATAAAAATTTGAATTATATGAACTGATTTGAGATGAGTTGAAGTATGCGCTTGAACGAATATGTCCAATGGCCATTGATTTTGTTAATAACTTGTAAGCTAGTAACTAATGATGGCGCGTAAGAAAAATGGTAACGAAACTATCTACTAACCGCATATTTTCATGACAAGATGTCTTTTGCAAAGGAATGAAAATTTGAGGAAGGAGCGACCATTTCATGTCGTATTAGGGGTCTTCGAACTGAATTAAGGGCAAACTTAAAAGTTTTCAGGTGCAAACCAGCTGAAGAACTGTACTACGGGTATCTGTCTTCACATGTACATTACAAAAGAATTGAGACTAATGCTTTGAAGAACAAAGAAGCTAGTCAGCGAACCAGAACTACGTGGCGTCGTGGGTGGTCTCTTACGGGGACGTTACTAAGGTGATGTACACTTTAAATCCTTTGATATTCGGTGAGACTGTTTTAATAAAATTGTAATTGCTTATATCGATACTGGCAGTAAAGTGAATATTTTGACACTCGATATAGTTAGATAGCTAGATCTACCTTTAATTCCATCCACTGTTCTATTGAAAGGATTATTAAGTGGTTGTATATTTTCTCTCGGTACCGTTATCTACCGTATCAGAAGTGACGCATAGTTGTACAGCCAGTGTTGATATGATTATAGGTCAGTAGGTAATTGGCAGTCAAGATAACATCACTTTGGTCACTAGTTCCACTAGCACCACCCTGGTCAGAATTCATTCATATGATAGTACTGACTTCCACCATACATATGAAGTACGGGTATCACAAAACGTAGCTATTCTTTCTTGTTATAAAATGCCTGTTAATATTTTTATTAAAATAACAAGTGTGTGGACTTAACGTATAATACCCTACTTGCTTACAATTCGAAGGATATATGTATCGATACGGGGCGCTTTACTAACGTCTGTGACTTATACAATTAAAATTATTATTAATATAGGAAATAACTATATCGTGTAGCGAACTAGGGCAGAGATTTATTATAAGAAAGATAAAATGAATGTCTTATGTACTGATAGAAATTAATAAAATCATACCGCCATTTTAGAAAAAAATAATATCGAGGATATTTATGGACAGTTGTTTGCAAAATTTGAAAGTTGAAGAATGTAGATTAAGAATGGGTGAGTTAACCATCAAATACCTTTTGTACGCCGATGATCAAGTTATCCTTGCATCGTCTGCGGCTGAGTTGCAAATGATGGTTACATTAATGAACAGATCATTAAAAGAAAGGGGTATGAAAGTGAACGCAAGTAAGACGAAAATTATGGTTTTTGAATGAGATGAAAGTAAAACGATATGTGAAATAAGAATAGATGGGGAGTTGATCGAGCAAGTAGATGAGTTTGTATATTTGGGTTGCGTATTTAGCAGGGATGGGAGATATAAGGATATAGAACGACGAGTGAACGCAGGAAACAGAGTAAATAGGGCCTTACACTCTATTGTGAAGAGTCAAAACGTGTCAAAAAAGGCACGTATGGCAATTCACAATGCTGTGTTGGTCCCTACTTTAACGTATGGTAGTGAAAGTTGGGTGTGGCAGAAGAAGTACGAGAGTAAAATAAATGCAGTAGGAATACGGTCATTAAGGAGTATGTTAGGGCTGAATCTGAATGACAGGGTGAAAAATTGTGTGATAAGAGAAGAGTGTGATTTGAAAGATGATGTTGTGACCAGGATTAAGAAAGGAATGCTTCGGTGGTTTGGTCATGTGGAAAGAATGGATGAGGAAAGAGTGACAAAGAAAATTTATGTTGCAGAAGTGAATGGCAGAGTCGGAAAGGGACGTCCTAGGCGAAAATTTATCGACCAAATTGGCGATTTATTGAAAACGGGCCAAATTAGGAGTACCCTTAACCGACGAGCATGCATGCGTAGGTGTATGGAAGTGAAGGAGGCGAGAGAGGTGTGTCAGGATCGTGCCAAATGGAAGTCTGCAGTTTCTGCCTACCCCTCTGGGTGACAGGCGCGAGTGTTTATGATGATATGATATGATTAATATCGAGGAACTAGACTTGGACGAAATAAATAATAGCGAACGAGATACTTATCGTATCTGTTTTCGCAGTACTTAACTTTTAGTCTAATTTCTAAATCTGAAAATAATCTGTTGCCAATATCTAGTTTCGACTTAATTAATGACATTTAAAGACAAACCTTATCTGGTAGGCCAACATAAGCTGAAATAAATATCAACCAAAGCATGACACGAATAAAGAAACAAATGACTGTAGGCGTACGAAAATGTACCAAATATAATATAGTACAACTAGTCTTTTGGAAAGGTGACGTTACTGAAGAAGCCGTGGCAAAAAGCTAGATACATTTTCATACAAGTCAGTGGGATAACCAGAATAAATAATAGTACTACGTAGTAGTATCAGTAAATTGATAGAGGATTTAATTGAATTGTTAGAAAGTTAAGAAAGTTAAGCATATGGGCTACAAACTTGCAACGAAGTGTTTAAAATCTTGCAATTAATTTAATTAAGTAATCCATTTAACCTCTGACTTAAAAAAAAGATGAGATTTGAGGTGTATTTAGTTTCACAGTTCCTAATTGGGTTGAATAGTTTATGCATATTTTCTATGAAGTTGTTTTGCAGTAAATTACATTGTGGAAAAATCAATCAAGTCAATGACGGCTTTATAAGTATTACTATTACATTCACTTTCACAGTTCACTCCTCTTATTAGTTATTGCAGCTTACTTTTACTCTCGCTATTGCCTGGAGAGATGGCAGCTGCCGTTGCAATATATTAAATAATCTCCTTAGTCTATGTTAATTAGTTTTTGATTTTTACCTGTTTTATGATACTGGAGAGAGTATTTCTAATGATTCAAATTTCAGTTCTGTGTATTATCTATTTTTTCCAAAGAGCTTAATGACCTCTTGGTAAAGAGAAATTATTGTTCCGTCTTGATAACTATATTAATAAATACGGCAACTTCGTCTTGATAATTGCAGGGTAAAGCTATGTGCACTTCTTACAATATACTTTTATACACACACATTACTCTAAGCAGTAATTAATCTATTTTTTATTTTACTTAATTTATCTGAATGTGTGCAGCGATAACCTTCGTATATGCAAAGAATAAATTACACTAATTACTAATAAACTAAGCTATGTGCAATAATAAACTAAGCTATGTGTTGAACAGAGCTATGTACAGCTGCTTGTAAAACCATACTAAGGTTGTGTGCAAGATCTATATGTGCCTCGTATGTCACAAACGTTGTTTCTGCCGAATGTAACATGTTCATCTGTCAGCAATCAAGAAAAATCGTGCAAGAGTATATGTTTACCTGGCTGTGTGCATTTTTCTGTAGAAAATATGAATGTACTTCGTTTTAATCGACTTAAAAAAGGAGGTACTCAAAATCCGAACGTATGTCCTTTTTTGTGTCTTACCTCAGTACAAATTTCTAGGTGAACCATTTTTGTATATTCGATCAAGATCTGACCGATAGCTTTTGAGTTATCTTAATAATACGTACTTAATTAACTTCAAATACTTTGATAAAGTTCTCATTTTATTTCTATTAAAGTTGGTTGTACAACATTTTTTAATTTTACCACCTTTTACGAACTAAAATTGCTTATGGAACAATTAATTTTTGTACACATTATTTCCATTACAGAAAGAGCGACTACAATTGACACCACACGATAGCAGACGAGCTTCAGGGGCTACTACATGGTTCAACAAAGGAACTCCTTCAAGCTTTGTTATGAGACCTTCAACATCAAATTTTGTTAAATAATTACCGGACGCACTTTGGATATTGTCGTGGGGCACGTCTTGAATCAGAATGGCCGAATGTTATCAGTGATTTTTACATAATTTCTATTATGTATCGTTATAAATAATATTTGTATAATTATCGTTTTTTTTCTAAACATTTGTAATTAATTCACTTATCAGTAATATTTACAACAGCGTTTTACTTATTTTCGTATTATAAAAGTATTTGGATTGTATAATTCTTACACATTCTATATCTAACTGTTGCTAGGTTCAGTTTTGGTAGGTAGTAGGGATATGCTACCACCATTGTGTGATAAACGATTTCAATAATTGTTGACTGACTATTCAAGTTGTGAACTAGTAAAGTAAATAACAAGTAATCAAGCGTATTATTATCATTCCTGCGTCTCCTATAATAATAATGGTGTACGTTGAGTGTAATGAGTCTAAAGAACTGGAGATTCAATTTACTGGAAACGAGGTATTCCATCTTAATAGCTACTCCGTGGTCACAACCGAATTTTGATTCTGAATTAAGGATAGATATAGATGTCTATGGGACTCGGCATCTATTTACTATCAGTTGTATTGTCTTTATTTGAGTAATATTTGCCGTAGGTTTCACATTTTTATTGTTAGGAATACGCTGCTGCCCATCTCCTTATTCCATAAAAAAGCTTAACTCTGCATTTCAGTATTAGAGATACTGAGAGACGCAATACTACTAGATACAAAAACAAAGTATTTGTATGTTGTATTTATTTATTCTGAGATTCCAATATCGGACCCCAGTAGAAGTAAGATCCTCTGCATACAAAACTGATTAGTATAATATAATGAAAAATATAAAAAATTTATATCACTACTTTTCAAAGTACTAAAGACATGGGGATTAGTGCTCAGGAAATTAATGGGATTGTACGCCTCGAAGCACAAGGACTCTTCACCAATTTCAAAATGTACAGTGAAACAACGAGCGCGATCCGCCGAGCTGATGATACTTAGAAAAGCGCAATATTTAAAAAAATATTTATCTGAGATATATAAAAAAATATATACGCCAGATCCCTTCTACAATAAAAAGATACATGTGCAGTTAACAACTACGATTTAATTGTTCGAATTAAATCCAGCCGTCAGATTTCACCGATACACATCACGACAAAACTTACGTTATCTTCAAGAAACGAGCTCACTCTTTTCAATCGGCCGGCAACGCACCTGCAACTCCCCTGGTTCTGCATGGGCTAATGCCCAGCAGGTTTCGGACCTCGAGGCTCACCTTCTGGCTTTCCTCACGCCCCACTACAATGGGCCGGTCCTGGGCTCCTTATATAAGGCGTAGTTGGGTAGCTAGCGGTGGTTAGCCGCAGTCGGTTAATTTATAAAAGAGCGAGGTTATCTGGTTATGTCTGCATTCAATAATTTTATAATAGCACAACATTTAATATGTTATCGTCTTCCGGTCCTGGGTTCACGAGGTCGTCTTATAATTAAGTTTATTTTAATTTTCCAGAGAATTACAAAACCTTTATTAGATTAATAACCTAATTTTTATAATACTTAATAAATGATGATTAAATAATAACTGACGCCTTCCGCTTGTCAGCTTCCGGCGAACCTAAGATTAATGTTATTAAATGTGTATAAACAATTTTTATTATTGTTTATTCGTTGCTATATTGATTGACAGTTATTTTATAATTTATGATGCAATATTTATAGTAATAAGAATATTAATGTTCATTATTAGGTTATTATTAAAACTGTATAAAAGGCCGCTGTGACGATAGATTAGTCAGTTGTTTTGTAACCGCCAGTAAGTAAAGGTGTGAAGGGTAACTGTCAGTTTGTGAAAGTGATTAAAGTATATATATATATATATATATATATATATATATATATATATATATATATATATCAAGTAAAAATATCGTTTATCTGCGGTTAGTCGTACCTTGCCTATCCGCCATCCACAAATAATTACACAACGCTGCTCGTAATTAGTTAATATTTTCCCAATATCTCGAAGTTGGTTTGTATGAGTTTGAAAAAGGGTTAGTAAAGAACCCATATTTTATAAATATTTGTACATATACATAAATTCAATTGAAGTTTAATATGTCTGTAATATCGAAATGACTGCCTTGTATCGATCTCAGACTGTTATTATTTTATAGGATAGGCGTGACCAACTAGGGCACAGTCCACCTGATGCTAAATTGATACTTTGGCTTGGATCCACATTTATCCTCAAGAATCAAAATGCATATGCGTTGTCACAGGACTGAGATGGAACGCCTCGTTTCCAGTAAAAGAAAGTTCTTCCGTTCTCTACACTCACCATACGAAACACAGCAGCATTGAGCTCCTATTTAATGCTGGTGATCTGTGAAAGTGTAGTCCTCCGGTAGAGCCGACCCATATAGTATACTACAACTATAATATAGCTGCAGCGTAGCTTTTCCAAGTATAAATTTTTGTATACGAAAACATTAATTACTTGTAAAGTTTTCGTGTGTCTGTATGTCTATCCGTCCAAGCTTATCTTCGGAATGGCTAAACCGATTGTAAGGAAACATGGCCAACAGATAAAGAGCAATGCCGTGAGTTATCGAGACTATATTTTATTCGAGATAAATAGAGATTAAAAATAAATATAACGCCAAATTAATAAATCCTACATAGTGAATGGCTCGTCTCATATATTATTTTATTCCATTCACTTATTCATACAATACAGCCTCTCAAAATTCCACTTCTGAACACAGGCCTACTCCATTGACTGTCTAATACGTGTTTTTTATAGAATGAAAAGGCAGACGAGCTTGTGCCTTACCTAGTGGTAAATGCTAACTGCCGTCCATGCACAACTGCACCGGAGGGAAATCGATGGCGCGTTGCCAGCTTTTTAAAAAGGAGTAAGCTCTTTTCCTAAATGGAGCAAGTTTTGCCACAGTTGCCTCACTTGAGAGGCCAATCTGTAACCGCAGTTTTTTACTAACTTACCTAACTTACCTAGTGGGAAGTTATTGTAATGGGTCCAGTTTTGCAAATTGGAAATTTTAGCATATCTCCACGTTTCAAGGTCTTTAGAGTCGAATAGTTTTTAACTAGGATGTCCGTATGTGCACATGTACGTATGTATGTATGTATGTTCGGATTCAATTTTCGCCTCGTATATCTCGAAAACAAAGAGTGATATTGACATGGGACCTGTTTCATTTGACTCATAATTATGTGACTTAGACCTCAAAATCTGTCAAGTTTTTTACTGTGCCGAATGAAAAATTGTATAAAATATTAAAAAAATTTGATATGATATTTTTTTATTCTCTCCACTGGGAAGTTAGTCGTGTGGACCTTTCGGGTCGCACCTAGACCGCTTTTATAATATTCAGTTGTAATCAGCAAAATATCGCTGCTCATCTCTTATTTCATTTCCCCTCTGTCACCTCTCACGACGCCTACGAAATAATAACAATGGGTTAATAATGTTGATTGCAGTGCACAAGTTCCAAACAGAGGTGCTGACTGTATGTACTAGTAGTCAGAATGCCTATACAAGAACCGATTCGTTCTGAATAACGATTAATTCTGTTACTAACGAGGTACATTTATTAATAGTTTATATAACAAGCTATTTTTTCAGCAAATTACGATTATATTCTGTAAAAAATAAACCTCTTTCAGCGGTTTGTAAGGAGTTCAACTAGTATTTTACTTAAGAAAAATATCTTTCATGCGGTACGTGAACTGTAAAACGGCTAGTAATTGTAATTGAAACGTTTTTTTAAATATAGGAACCCGATCGGTAAAACCTAAGAAGCACAAAACTTTTAATGGCTTATTATATACAGGTAACATTTCTTACTTATCCTTCTTACTTACTTCAAGTTTAGTTTCATGATACAGCAGTTTTAAAGAGCATGAATGTAGTTACTTTGCCAACTCGTTAAAAAAATTAAACATTTCATAGACATTTGCACTGGTATTTATATCAAAACGATTCGTAAAAGAAAATGGAGCATTTTTAAAGTTATATTTATGGACTTAAAAGTTTCTAATGTTTTGTGATTTTTCGTACATGGTTTAACATGTCGTGGAAAATAATACTTAACTTTTATATGTGATAGAGCCATTCTACATTTATATTATGGTTGTAGCAGGAATGGGTCGGCTCGACCAAGGAAGGATCATGCTCTTACAGAATAAATAAATATGTAAATTATAGCTTATTCAATACGATAACAACAGCTATTTATTAATTTTCAAATTAAATTACTGCTAATAGTTCACGGAAGAGTTAGTCTTTACAGTCGAACTACGTTCTTAAAACTCTGATTAATTTTGCCAGTCTGCTTAACTTTAACGAACTTTACATAAAGTCATATTTGACGACGTTACTTTATGTCGACTCGCAGAATAATATCTTGTTATAAAGCCTTAAAATACGATATCAAAACATCAATTTATAAAATGAATATTTAATAAAAATAAAGTACCACGGTTGAATTCCTCGTCTCATTTCGGAAAGGGTTTCGCATTTTTTAAACACAAGGCTATAGCGGAAGTGCGTACACTGCACTGTTTGGGTCTGAAGTGTTAAAATACCAGTACACTTACAGCGTGTGAAGCATTCCGCAGCCTACTTTGTTTGAAGTTGGTTGCCAGTGTCCATGGACTGAAGTAGCCAATTACCATCAGGTGGACTGTAAGTTCGTTTGAATAAAATAAAAAGAAATTATTTAGTAATTAAAAAAATACCATTGACCCTGCCCGTCGCCGATCTAGGTACAGAACCGTTACCGTTACAGCCTGCTGAATGGTTCGCTGCTGAATATAGGCTCCCCCCATAGATTGTCTCATAGGAGAAATATTCGCTATAGTTGGCACGCTTGGTGAGCTGTTTGGCAACCGCTGGTTTATTTTTAGTCGTTTTAAAGAAGACTGATTGGTTTCCCTCTGTTGCCTCTTACAACACCCGCGGGATGATACGGGGTGGTGGGTAGACTC